CTAGTTCCGTTCTAGTTCAGTTCTAGTTCAGTTCTAGTTCAGTTCTAGTTCAGTTCTAGTTATTTTCTAGTTCTGTTCTAGTTCTGTTCTAGTTCTATTCTAGTTCATTTCTAATTATGTCCTAGTTCTGTTCAAGTTTTGTTCTAGTTCTGTTCTAGTTCTGTTCTAGTTCTGTTCTAGTTCTGCTTTAGTTCTGCTTTAGTTCTGTTCTAGTTCTGTTCTAGTTCAGTTCTAGTTCTTTTCTAGTTCTGTTCTAGTTCTATTCTAGTTCATTTCTAATTCTGTCCTAGTTCTGTTCAAGTTTTGTTCTAGTTTTGTTCTAGTTTTGTTCTAGTTCTATTCTAGTTCTGCTCTAGTTCAGTTCTAGTTCAGTTCTAGTTCAGTTCTAGTTCAGTTCTAGTTTAGTTCTATTTCAGTTCTAGTTCTGTTCTAGTTCTGTTCTAGTTCTGTTCTAGTTCTAGTTCTGTTCTAGTTCTGTTCTAGTTCTGTTCTAGTTCAGTTCTAGTTCTTTTCTAGTTCTGTTCTAGTTCTATTCTAGTTCATTTCTAATTCTGTCCTAGTTCTGTTCAAGTTTTGTTCTAGTTTTGTTCTAGTTCTATTCTAGTTCATTTCTAATTCTGTCCTAGTTCTGTTCTAGTTTTGTTCTAGTTCTATTCTAGTTCTGCTCTAGTTCAGTTCTAGTTCAGTTCTAGTTCAGTTCTAGTTTAGTTCTATTTCAGTTCTGTTCTAGTTCTGTTCTAGTTGTGTTCTAGTTCTGTTCTAGTTCTGTTCTAGTTCTGTTCTAGTTCTGTTCTAGTTCTGTTCTAGTTCTGTTCTAGTTCTGTTCTAGTTCAGTTCTAGTTCTTTTCTAGTTCTGTTCTAGTTCTATTCTAGTTCATTTCTAATTCTGTCCTAGTTCTGTTCAAGTTTTGTTCTAGTTCTATTCTAGTTCTGCTCTAGTTCAGTTCTAGTTCAGTTATAGTTCAGTTCTAGTTTAGTTCTATTTCAGTTCTGTTCTAGTTCTGTTCTAGTTCTGTTCTAGTTCTGTTCTAGTTCTGTTCTAGTTCTGTTCTAGTTCTGTTCTAGTTCTGTTCTAGGTTCTGTTCTGTTCTAGTTCTGTTCTAGTTCTGTTCTAGTTCTGTTCTAGTTCTGTTCTAGTTCTGTTCTAGTTCTGTTCTAGTTCTGTTCTAGTTCTGTTCTAGTTCTGTTCTAGTTCTGTTCTAGTTCTGTTCTAGTTCTGTTTCTAATTCTGTTCTAGTTCTGGTTCTGTTCTAGTTCTGGTTCTGTTCTAGTTCTGGTTCTGTTCTAGTTCTGGTTCTGTTCTAGTTCAGTTCTAGTTCAGTTCTAGTTCAGTTCTAGTTCAGTTCTAGTTCAGTTCTAGTTCTGTTCTAGTTCTGTTCTAGTTCAGTTTTAGTTCAGTTCTAGTTCAGTTCTAGTTTAGTTCTATTTCAGTTCTATTTCAGTTTCTATTTCAGTTCTTGTTCAGTTCTAGTTCTGTTCTAGTTCTGTTCTAGTTCTGTTCTAGTTCTGTTCTAGTTCTGTTCTAGTTCTGTTCTAGTTCTGTTCTAGTTCTTGTTCTAGTTCTAGTTCTAGTTCTGTTCTAGTTCTGGTTCTGTTCTAGTTCTGTTCTAGTTCTAGTTCTGTTCTACTTCTGTTCTGGTTCTGTTCTAGTTCTGTTCTAGTTCTGTTCTAGTTCTGTTCTAGTTCTGTTCTAGTTTTGTCCCAGTTCTGTTCTACTTCTGTTCAAGTTCTTTTCAAGTTCTCTCCAACTTTTGTTCTAGAAATATTAGCTTTTAAACCAGTAACTTTTCTACAGAAAAGCAAAGCTAAATTTTTCTAGAAAAATTTCATAATCAAATTTCTCTTTTATTTTCTACATTATTTCTTACTAAAATAACAATGTAGCAAGAAAACGGTGTTAAATTACAATAAATATAAGCTCTAGGGTGCCAATTATAACAAGACAAATAGTATCTTTGTAGTGACAAAATAGTACATAAAGAATCTAAACTGACGTCAGCAAATACCAAAAAATGCTAATGATATTTGCATAACTGGCGTACTATGAATGAATGAATAAAATAAAATTATTAACAAGAAATTGAAGAAAAAAACTTCTTCTACAGAGATAAAAAAGGATGCGTATATTATTAACATGTATTTGCATGTAATAAAGAAAACTTTATAGAATAGAGAGATCTTTGATAAATATTTGTTAAATGCACAATAAGAGACAAATAAATAAATGAAAATTTGTTTATGTTAAAAAAAAAAACAAAATGAACTGTTTTTTAGATCAAATAACAAAAAAATTTAAATATTAAAAAAAAAAAAACGCAAAAAAACATAGAAAAACAATAAAGTGTATTATTCATCAGCTACAGCAGCAGTCAAAGTATGAAGTGTTTGAGTTTATTTTAGAAAATGATGATGTTGATGACGATGACGTTTACAATTATTATAATATTTAAAAATTGAGTTGTGTGTGTAGGTAAAATACAATAGAATTTGAAAGTAAAGCGAACAAAGTTTAAGATTTTAAAAGAATTTTGTAGGAATGAATTCAATTTTTAATAGAATCTGTGAAAAAGATTATGAACTAGAACAGAACTAGTATAGAAATTAGAACTGAACTAGAATTGAACTAGAACTGAACTAGAACTGAACTAGAACTGAACTAGAACTGAACTAGAACTGAACTAGAACTGAACTAGAACTGAACTAGAACTGAACTAGAACTGAACTAGAACTGAACTAGAAACTGAACTAGAACTGAACTAGAACTGAACTAGAACTGAACTAGAACTGAACTAGAACTGAACTAGAACTGAACTAGAAGAACTAGAACTGAACTAGAACTGAACTAGAACTGAACTAGAACTGAACTAGAACTGAACTAGAACTGAACTAGAACTGAACTAGAACTGAACTAGAACTGAACTAGAACTGAACTAGAACACTGAACTAGAACTGAACTAGAACTGAACTAGAACTGAACTAGAACTGAACTAGAACTGAACTAGAACTGAACTAGAACTGAACTAGAACTGAACTAGAACTGAACTAGAACTGAACTAGAACTGAACTAGAACTCCTGAAACTAGAACTGAAACTAGAACTGAACTAGACTACTGAACTAGAAACTGAAATAGAACTGAACTAATACTAACGAGAACTGAACTAGACTGAACTAGAACTGAACTAGAACTGACTAGAACTGAACTGACTACTAGAACTGAACTAGAACTGAACTACAGAACTGAACTAGAACTGAACCAGAACGGAACTAGAACGAACTGAATCTTAACGAGAACTGAACTAGAACTGAACTAGAACAGAACTAGAACGAACTAGACCAGAACTAGAACAGAACTAGAACAGAACTAGAACAGAACTAGAACAGAACTAGAGCAGAACTAGAACAGAACTAGAACAGAACTAGACCAGAACTAGAACAGAAACTAGAACAGAACTAGAAACAGAACTAGAACAGAACTAGAAAGAACTAGAACAGAACTAGAACAGAACTAGAACAGAACTGGAACAGAACTAGAACAGAACTAGAACAGAACTAGAACTGAACTAGAACTGAACTAGAACTGAACTAGAACTGAACTAGAACAGAACTAGAACAGAACTAGAACAGAACTAGAACAGAACTAGAACAGAACTAGAACAGAACTAGAACAGAACTAGAACAGAACTAGAACAGAACTAGAACAGAACTAGAACAGAACTAGAACAGAACTAGAACAGAACTAGAACAGAACTAGAACAGAACTAGAACAGAACTAGAACAGAACTAGAACAGAACTAGAACAGAACTAGAACAGAACTAGAACAGAACTAGAACAGAACTAAAACAGAACTAGAAAAGAACTAGAACAGAACTAAAACTGAACTAGAACTGAAGTAGGACTGAACTAGAACTGAACTAGAACTGAACTAGAACTGAACTAGAACTGAACTAGAACTGAACTAGAACTGAACTAGATCTTAACTAGAACTGAACTAGAACAGAACTAGAACAGAACTAGAACAGAACTAGAACAGAACTAGAACAGAATTAGAACAGAACTAGAACAGAACTAGAACAGAACAAGAACAGAACTAGAACAGAACTAGAACAAGAACAGAACTAGAACAGAACTAGAACAGAACTAGAACAGAACTAGAACAGAACTTGAACAGAACTAGAACAGAACTAGAACTGAACTAGAACTGAACTAGAACTGAAGTAGGACTGAACTAGAACTGAACTAGAACTGAAATAGAACTGAACTAGAACTGAACTAGAACTGAACTAGAACTGAACTAGAACTTAACTAGAACAGAACTAGAACAGAACTAGAACAGAACTAGAACAGAACTAGAACAGAACTAGAACAGAACTAGAACAGAACTAGAACAGAACTAGAATAGAACTGGAACTGAACTAGAACTGTACTAGAACTAAACTAGAACTGAACTAGAACTGAACTAGAACTGAACTAGAACTGAACTAGAACTGAACTAGAACTGAACTAGAACTAAACTAGAACTAGAACTGAACTAGAACTGAACTAGAACTGAACTAGAACTGAACTAGAACTGAACTAGAGCCGAACTAGAACTGAACTAGAACTAAACTAGAACTGATCTAGAACTGAAAAAGAACTCTAGTAGAACTATTCGAGCTTTTATTTTATAATTTATTACTTTATTTAAAATTCTTGAAAAGAAATTAGAAAAAATTTACAAAATTAACACAATAACATAAGATTTACAATTCAAATTTATAGATTTTCAAAATCAAATTGACAACTCTACAAAAATATAAAACAAAACCAAGATTTATAATAAAATTTTAAACAAAAATAACGGTTTTACGTTAAAAACTAAACATATTTGTTTTTGCTACTTAACGTTTATCTTGAGAAGAGAAGTTTTATAAAATGGTGTGTTAAAGTTCTTTAAAATGTTTAATTAAATTTCGTAAGGGTTCATTAACATCTTCATCATTTCTTTTTTTATTATTAAAGGCCGATCAACTAACAGAAGAACAAATTGCTGAATTCAAAGAAGCATTCTCACTTTTCGATAAAGATGGTGATGGCACCATCACAACAAAGGAATTGGGCACAGTCATGAGATCGCTCGGTCAAAATCCCACAGAAGCTGAATTGCAGGATATGATCAATGAAGTCGATGCTGATGGTAAGTTGACGAAATGAAAAAAATTCAAAATTCCAACTTATATAGGAAACACAGGGAATTAATACTTTTAAACAAACAAAGTTAATTTTACATTAAAACAGATTTTTTCTTTAACCGGGGAGAAAATCAATTTATCTTTATTACTTTTAAACCTTTTAAGGTCTCTGTGGAAACCAACCAACCCCAACCATCATTATTATATTTTTCTATTTATTATAAAGATTGATTTAATCTTTATAACAAATTTAATTTAATACTTTTTTTTGTTATTTTATTATTATTTATTATTAATTTATCTCTCTATTGATTTAATATCAAAAAAACAAACTTATCGAATGATTTTTTCAGTCTGTCTGTCTGTCCCTCAAAATATTCGCGTTTTTTTTTTGTGATTCTTTATAATTTTTATGGTTTTTCTAAGTGTGTGTTGTCATGGTTGTTGTTTTTTTTTGTTTCTGTTTATTTTCATTTAATTTTGTATAAATATTTATTGGTAGCATTTTTTTCAGATTAATGTTATTTATTTCCACGTGCGTTTTTTCTTCATTCTTAAATCATTTTAATGTTATTTGTTGTTGTGCTACAATTCAATTAGTATAAGAGGGAAACTATACAGACTTTTGTAAAGAAAAATTATTGATTCAGTTCGTAGTTCTAGTTCAGTTCCATTTCAGTTCCATTTCAGTTCTAAATCAGTTCTAGTTTAGTTCTAGTTCAGTTCTAGTTCAGTTCTAGTTCAGTTCTAGTTCAGTTCTAGTTCAGTTCTAGTTCAGTTCTAGTTCAGTTCTAGTTCAGTTCTAGTTCAGTTCTAGTTCAGTTCTAGTTCAGTTCTAGTTCAGTTCTAGTTCAGTTCTAGTTCAGTTCTAGTTCAGTTCTAGTTCAGTTCTAGTTCAGTTCTAGTTCAGTTCTAGTTCAGTTCTAGTTCAGTTCTAGTTCAGTTCTAGTTCAGTTCTAGTTCAGTTCTAGTTCAGTTCTAGTTCAGATCTAGTTCAGTTCTAGTTCAGTTCTAGTTCAGTTCTAGTTCAGTTCTAGTTCAGTTCTAGTTCAGTTCTAGTTCAGTTCTAGTTCAGTTTTGTTCAGTTCTAGTTCAGTTCTAGTTCAGTTCTAGTTCAGTTCTAGTTCAGTTCTAGTTCAGTTCTAGTTCAGTTCTAGTTCAGTTCTAGTTCAGTTCTAGTTCAGTTCTAGTTCAGTTCTAGTTCAGTTCTAGTTCAATTCTAGTTTAGTTCTAGTTCAGTTCTAGTTCAGTTCTAGTTCAGTTCAGTTCTGGTTCAGTTCTAGTGCAGTTCTAGTTCAGTTCAGTTCAGTTCTAGTTCAGTTCTAGTTCAGTTCTAGTTCAGTTCTAGTTCAGTTCTAGTTCAGTTCTAGTTCAGTTCTAGTTCAGTTCTAGTTCAGTTCTAGTTCAGTTCTAGTTCAGTTCTAGTTCAGTTCTAGTTCAGTTCTAGTTCAGTTCTAGTTCAGTTCTAGTTCAGTTCTAGTTCAGTTCTAGTTCAGTTCTAGTTCAGTTCTAGTTCAGTTCTAGTTCAGTTCTAGTTCAGTTCTAGTTCAGTTCTAATTCAGTTCTAGTTCAGTTCTAGTTCAGTTCTAGTTCAGTTCTAGTTCAGTTCTAGTTCAGTTCTAGTTCAGTTCTAGTTCAGTTCTAGTTCAGTTCTAGTTCAGTTCTAGTTCAGTTCTAGTTCAGTTCTAGTTCAGTTCTAGTTCAGTTCTAGTTCAGTTCTAGTTCAGTTCTAGTTCAGTTCTAGTTCAGTTCTAGTTCAGTTCTAGTTCAGTTCTAGTTCAGTTCTAGTTCAGTTCTAGTTCAGTTCTAGTTCAGTTCTAGTTCAGTTCTAGTTCAGTTCTAGTTCAGTTCTAGTTCTGTTCTAGTTCTGTTCTAGTTCTGTTCTAGTTCTGTTCTAGTTCTGTTCTAGTTCTGTTCTAGTTTGTTCTAGTTCTGTTCTAGTTCTGTTCTAGTTCTGTTCTAGTTCTGTTCTAGTTCAGTTCTAGTTCAGTTCTAGTTCAGTTCTAGTTCAGTTCTAGTTCAGTTCTGTTCTAGTTCTGTTCTAGTTCTGTTCTAGTTCTGTTCTAGTTATGTTCTAGTTATGTTCTAGTTATGTTCTAGTTATGTTCTAGTTCTGTTCTAGTTCTGTTCTAGTTCTTTTCTAGTTCTTTTCTAGTTCTGTTCTAGTTCTGTTCTAGTTCTGTTCTAGTTCTGTTCTAGTTCTGTTCTAGTTCTGTTCTAGTTCTGTTCTAGTTCTGTTCTAGTTCTGTTCTAGTTCTGTTCTAGTTCTGTTCTAGTTCTGTTCTAGTTCTATTCTAGTTCTGTTCTAGTTCTGTTCTAGTTCAGTTCTAATTCAGTTCTAGTTCAGTTCTAGTTCGGTTCTAGTTCAGTTCTAGTTCAGTTCTAATTCAGTTCTAGTTCAGTTCTAGTTCAGTTCTAGTTCAGTTCTAGTTCAGTTCTAGTTCAGTTCTAGTTCAGTTCTAGTTCAGTTCTAGTTCAGTTCTAGTTCAGTTCTAGTTCAGTTCTAGTTCAGTTCTAGTTCAGTTCTAGTTCAGTTCTGGTTCAGTTCTGGTTCAGTTCTAGTTCTGTTCTAGTTCTGTTCTAGTTCTGTTCTAGTTCTTTTCTAGTTCTGTTCTAGTTCTGTTCTAGTTCTGTTCTAGTTCTGTTCTAGTTCTGTTCTAGTTCTGTTCTAGTTCAGTTCTAGTTCAGTTCTAGTTCAGTTCTAGTTCAGTTCTAGTTCAGTTCTAGTTCAGTTCTAGTTCAGTTGTAGTTCAGTTCTAGTTCTGTTCTAGTTCTTTTCTAGTTCTTTTCTAGTTCTGTTCTAGTTCTGTTCTAATTCTGTTCTAGTTCTGTACTAGTGCTGTTCTAGTTCTTTTCTAGTTTTATTTTAGTTCTTTTCTAGTTTTGTTCTAGTTCTATTCTAGTTCAGTGCTAGTTCTGTTCTAATTCAATTCTAGTTCAGTTGTACTTGTTTTCTACATTAGTTTAAATCTTTTATGTAGAGCTCCTTTAAAATTCGTTCAATACTACCCATTCCTTTATGATTCAAATATCAAATTGTTTAGTTGGAAGTGTTTGTATAAAGAAACATATTAATTGTCTATTAAGACTTCTGCTGCTGTTGAGAGGAACGTGCGCGGGAAATGCCTCTTGGTAGTAGTGATGAATGTTTGATTTTCTTGAAATTAATAAATATTAGCTTATTATACATTAATATTGTTGCTATTTTTCTCGAAACATATTTTAGATTTAATTTTTTGGTTTTTTCTTTATTAATTTGTTTTTATTTTTATAGTAACAGTCAGTAACATATTATTAAATGTGTCTGTCTGTCTGTCTGTCTACATTTGAAAATTAAAAGAAAATAATAAATTGTATAGAATATTAGCTGAAAAAAGTCTAAATATTAGAAAGACAAACCATCTTATAGAATATTCTTTTGTTCATTTAATTTCATCATTTCATTACTTTTAGCAAAAATAAGCAAATATTCTTATTATTGCTTTTTTATGACTTAAAATAATACTCTTCTTTCTGTCGGTCTTTGTGTAAGCAACAATAATTCTAAGAACATTTTCAACAATAAATTATTCTAAACAATATAAAAAGCCAAATGGCAATTTTGTCTAAATGATTTTGGGAGAAAGTGTTTTTAAGGCAATAAAAAATTTTTAATTTAGAACATTTACAAATAATACAGAATACAGTTTATTACTTTCTGCAAATAGCATTTAAAAAAAAGGTTTCATATAAAGAAAAACATAACTTTTAACCCCAATAACTGCGCAGGTCCTGTTGCTAAAGTTTTTCATATTTTCCCAGGGAAACAATCTCCGACTTGAAAAACTAACTCCACAAATGTCATAAATTAATATTCGGCAGCCCCCCCCTCCCATCCACGTCTTACTGCATGAAATTGCCTTAAAACCCCCTTAAACCCCAGGGGGAGTTTAAACCACCACCACCACTACATCCCTCAAAAATTTACTCTACAAATCTGCTTATTAGCATTTTTTGTTTCATATTTCTCTTATTTTCCTTTTTTTTTCTATTAAATTCCCAAATCCAACTTTATGTTAAAATTCTTTATGAATTTCTCTTATTTCTGAAATAATAATTTTCTATGCATATTTCTCATTTCTTTATGGCTTTAATAGCAGCGCCGCGCAGACATTAGAGGATTTTAACCTTTCCAAAAATAAACTTTTTCTATTTATTTTGTTGTTTTTTCTTTTATATTTTATTTTGAAAAAGAAAAATTTGCCTTTTAGCGAGCCATGGGATGCATGCAGCACATAAATGAAATGACACTTTTAATGAAAGAATTTTTTTTTTTTTTTTTTTTTGTAAATTTACGCTAAACTATTTTTAGTTGAGTAGAAGCAAAAAAAATTTTTATGAATTGCAAATGTAAGACCCTCTATTCTACTTGCCTGCCCCCACCTCTTTTTTTAAACTTTTGGGGCATCTGCTGCTAGTCTTGCTGTTCTGTTGGTTTTTGTTAATATTTAAAAACAATTAAATTAAAAGTTTATTAACAAACAAAATAAACAAAAAGTTTCCAAAATTATTTTATTTTTTAGAAAAATTAATTAAATTTAAAAATAGAAATTACTCTAGTTCTGTTCTAGTTCAGTTCTAGTATAGTTCTAGTATAATTCTAGTTCAGTTCTAGTTCAATTCTAGGTCAGTTGTAGTTCAAATTCAATTCTACATCAGTTCTAGATCAGTTGTATTTCAGTTGTAGTTCAGTTCTTGTTCAGTTTTAGTTCAGTTCTAGTTCAGTTCTAGTTCAGTTCTAGTTCAGTTCTAGTTCAGTTCTAGTTCAGTTCTAGTTCAGTTCTAGTTCAGTTCTAGTTCAGTTCTAGTTCTGTTCTAGTTCTATGCTAGTTCTGTTCTAATTCTGTTCTACTTCTGTTCTACTTCTGTTCCAGTTCTGTTCTAGTTCTGTTTTAGTTCTGTTCTAGTTCAGTTCTAGTTCAGTTCTACATCAGTTCTAGTTCAGTTCTAGTTCAGTTCTAGTTCAGTTCTAGTTCAGTTCTAGTTCAGTTCTAGTTCTGTTCTAGTTCTGTTCTGTTCTAGTTCTGTACTAGTTCTGTTCTAGTTCTGTTCTAGTTCAGCTCTAGTTCAGTTCTAGTTCAGTTCTAGTTCAGTTCTAGTTCAGTTCTAGTTCAGTTCTAGTTCAGTTCTAGTTCAGTTCTAGTTCAGTTCTAGTTCAGTTCTAGTTCAGTTCTAGTTTAGTTCTAGTTTAGTTCTAGTTCAGTTGTAGTTCAGTTCTAGTTCAGTTCTAGTTCCGTTCTAGTTCAGTTCTAGTTCAGTTCTAGTTCAGTTCTAGTTCAGTTCTAGTTCTGTTCTAGTTCTGTTCTGTTCTAGTTCTGTACTAGTTCTGTTCTAGTTCTGTTCTAGTTCAGTTCTAGTTCAGTTCTCGTTCAGTTCTAGTTCAGTTCTAGTTCAGTTCTAGTTTAGTGCTAGTTCAGTTCAGTTCTAGTTCAGTTCTAGTTTAGTTCTAGTTCAGTTCTAGTTCAGTTCTAGTTCAGTTCTAGTTCAGTTCTAGTTCAGTTCTAGTTCAGTTCTAGTTCAGTTCTAGTTCAGTTCGAGTTCAGTTCTAGTTCAGTTCTAGTTTAGTTCTAGTTCAGTACTAGTTCAGTTCTAGTTCAGTTCTGGTTCAGTACTAGTTCTGTTCTAGTTCTGTTCTAGTTCTGTTCTAGTTCTGTTCTAGTTCTGTTCTAGTTCTGTTCTAGTTCTGTTCTAGTTCTGTTCTAGTTCTGTTCTAGTTCTGTTCTAGTTCTGTTCTAGTTCCGTTCTAGTTCTGTTCTAGTTCTAGTTCTGTTCTAGTTCTGTTCTAGTTCTGTTCTAGTTCTGTTCTAGTTCTGTTCTAGTTCTAGTTCTGTTCTAGTTCTGTTCTAGTTCTGTTCTAGTACTGTTCTAGTACTGTTCTAGTTCTGTTCTAGTTCTGTTCTAGTTCTGTTCTAGTTCTGTTCTAGTACTGTTCTAGTTCTGTTCTAGTTCTGTTCTAGTTCTGTTCTAGTTCTGTTCTAGTTCTGTTCTAGTTCTGTTCTAGTTCTGTTCTACTTCTGTTCTAGTTCTGTTCTAGTTCTGTTCTAGTTCTGTTCTAGTTCTGTTCTAGTTCTGTTCTAGTTCTGTTCTAGTTCTGTTCTAGTTCTGTTCTAGTTCTGTTCTAGTTCTGTTCTAGTTCTGTTCTAGTTCTGTTCTAGTTCTGTTCTAGTTCTGTTCTAGTTCTGTTCTAGTTCTGTTCTAGTTCTGTTCTAGTTCTGTTCTAGTTCTGTTCTAGTTCTGTTCTAGTTCTGTTCTAGTTCTGTTCTAGTACTGTTCTAGTTCTGTTCTAGTTCTGTTCTAGTTCTGTTCTAGTTCTGTTCTAGTTCTGTTCTAGTTCTGTTCTAGTTCTGTTCTAGTTCTGTTCTAGTTCTGTTCTAGTTCTGTTCTAGTTCTGTTCTAGTTCTAGTTCTGTTCTAGTTCTGCTCTAGTTCTGTTCTAGTTCTGTTCTAGTTCAGTTCTGTTCTAGTTCTGTTCTAGTTCTGTTCTAGTTCTGTTCTAGTTCTGTTCTAGTTCTGTTCTAGTTCTGTTCTAGTTCTGTTCTGTTCTAGTTCTGTTCTAGTTCTCTTCTAGTTCTGTTCCAGTTCTGTTCTAGTTCTGTTCTAGTTCTGTTCTAGTTCTGTTCTAGTTCTGCTCTAGTTCTGCTCTAGTTTTGTTCTAGTTCTGTTCTAGTTCAGTTCTGTTCTAGTTCAGTTCTGTTCTAGTTCTGTTCTAGTTCTGTTCTAGTTCTGTTCTAGTTCTGTTCTAGTTCTGTTCTAGTTCTGTTCTAGTTCTGTTCTAGTTCTGTTCTAGTTCTGTTCTAGTTCTGTTCTAGTTCTGTTCTAGTTCTGCTCTAGTTCTGCTCTAGTTCTGTTCTAGTTCTGTTCTAGTTCTGTTCTAGTTCTGTTCTAGTTCTGTTCTAGTTCTGTTCTAGTTCTGTTCTAGTTCTGTTCTAGTTCTGTTCTAGTTCTGTTCTAGTTCTGTTCTAGTTCAGTTCTAGTTCAGTTCTAGCTCTGTTCTAGTTCTGTTCTAGTTCTGTTCTAGTTCTGTTCTAGTTCAGTTCTAGTTCAGTTCTAGTTCAGTTCTAGTTCAGTTCTAGTTCAGTTCCAGTTCAGTTCCAGTTCACTTCTAGTTCATTTCTAGTTCTGTTCTAGTTCTATTATAGTTCTGTTCTAGTTCTGTTTTACTTCTGTTCCAGTTCTGTTCTAGTTCTGTTTTAGTTCTAGTTCTGTTCTAGTTCTGTTCTAGTTCTGTTCTAGTTCTGTTCTAGTTCTGTTCTAGTTCTGTTCTAGTTCTGTTCTAGTTCTGTTCTAGTTCTGTTCTAGTTCTGTTCTAGTTCTGTTCTAGTTCTGGTTCTGTTCTAGTTCTGTTCTAGTTCTGTTCTAGTTCTGTTCTAGTTCTGTTCTAGTTCTGTTCTAGTTCTAGTTCTGTTCTAGTTCTGTTCTAGTTCTGTTCTAGCTCTGTTCTAGTTCTGTTCTAGTTCTGTTCTAGTTCTGTTCTAGTTCAGTTCTAGTTCAGTTCTAGTTCAGTTCTAGTTCAGTTCTAGTTCAGTTCTAGTTCAGTTCTAGTTCAGTTCTAGTTCAGTTCTAGTTCAGTTCTAGTTCAGTTCTAGTTCAGTTCTAGTTCAGTTCTAGTTCAGTTCTAGTTCTGTTCTAGTTCTGTTCTAGGTCAGTTCTAGTTCAGTTCTAGTTCAGTTCTAGTTCAGTTCTAGTTCAGTTCCAGTTCAGTTCCAGTTCACTTCTAGTTCATTTCTAGTTCTGTTCTAGTTCTATTATAGTTCTGTTCTAGTTCTGTTTTACTTCTGTTCCAGTTCTGTTCTAGTTCTGTTTTAGTTCTAGTTCAGTTCTAGCTAAGTTCTAGTTCAGTTCAGTTCTAGTTCAGTTCTAGTTCAGTTCTAGTTCAGTTCTAGTTCAGTTGTAGTTCAGTTATAGTTTAGTTCTAATTCAGTTCTAGTTCAGTTCTATTTCAGTTTTAGTTCAGTTCTGCATCAATTCTAGTTTTCTCTCAGAAATGTAATCGCCTTTTGCTTTTAAAGGCTAATTAAGTAAAACGTTTTATAGGTAACTTATTCCTTTTTCTGTTCGTTTGTTTGCCTTGAGGAAATAAATTTAATTTTATTGTTTGTTTTTATCCTAAAACAATAAATAGATTAATTTAATTTGTGTGTTATTTTCACCCCCCAAAAATGTAACCTTTTTCATAAAATTTTTTTAAGGTTAGGTTGGAAAAGTTTTTTTTTTCTAAGGTGGTGGTTGCTAAACAATTTACTTTTCTTTTGCCATTTAATCAAATATTCCTTTTTTCATATTTTTCATATTAAGAATTGTAAGCCAACCATAAAAAACACACCCTTTTTTGCTAAATTGTATTGGTGCTTGGCAAAACATTCAAAAAACCATTTTAAATATTTATGGGATTTTGTTTGTAACACAAAAAAAAAAAGAAATTGCAATATTTTCTCATTTTTATTTTTCCACTTCGCCATTAAATTGAAATTTATACCGAAGCTGATGTTGTTTGATAATATTGGCAAAATGATGGAATTTTTATGGTTCATTAAATTTATTAGAAAAAAAAAAAAAAATAGGAAAATAATACTATTATATAGTTTTTTATAAAAAAAAAACTATTAACTAAATATAGATGGCAAATATTTATTTGTAACTAAGGTAAAATTTCCTGTGTTTTCTATATTAACAATAACAAATATAATTAATAGTTTTATTAATTGTTGTTTTTAACTTTCTTTTATTTGTAAAGGCAACGGCACAATTGATTTTCCTGAATTCTTGACAATGATGGCCCGTAAAATGAAGGATACCGATAGTGAAGAAGAAATCCGAGAAGCCTTCAGAGTATTCGATAAAGATGGTAACGGCTTCATTTCAGCGGCTGAATTACGTCACGTCATGACAAATTTGGGTGAAAAGTTAACAGACGAAGAAGTCGATGAGATGATTCGAGAAGCTGATATCGATGGTGATGGTCAAGTCAATTACGAAGGTAAGTTTTGGTAGTTTTGTGTAACTTCTCTGGTTCCTTTATAGATCAGTTCTGGTTCTAGTTCAGTTCTACTTCTGTTCTAATTGAGCTTTAGTTCTAGTTTAGTTCTATTTCAGTTCTACTACAGTTCTAGTTTAGTTCGAGTTGAGTTTTAGTTCAGTTCGAGTTCAGTTCTAGTTCTAGTTCAGTTCTAGTTCAGTTCTAGTTCAGTTCTAGTTCAGTTCTAGTTCAGTTCTAGTTCTAGTTCAGTTCTAGTTCAGTTCTAGTTCAGTTCTAGTTCAGTTCTAGTTCAGTTCTAGTTCAGTTCTAGTTCAGTTCTAGTTCTGTTCTAGTTCGGTTCTAGTTCAGTTCTAGTTCAGTTCTAGTTCAGTTCTAGTTCTAGTAGTTCTAGTTCAGTTAGTTCAGTTCTAGTTCAGTTCTAGTTCAGTTCTAGTTCAGTTCTAGTTCAGTTCTAGTTCAGTTCTAGTTCAGTTCTAGTTCAGTTCTAGTTCAGTTCTAGTTCAGCTCTAGTTCAGCTCTAGTTCAGTTCTAGTTCAGATCTAGTTCAGATCTAGTTCAGTTCAGTCAGTTCTAGTTCAGTTCTAGTTCAGTTCTAGTTCAGTTCTAGTTCAGTTCTAGTTCAGTTCTAGTTCAGTTCTAGTTCAGTTCTAGTTCAGTTCTAGTTCAGTTCTAGTTCAGTTCTAGTTCAGTTCTAGTTCAGTTCTAGTTCAGTTCTAGTTCAGTTCTAGTTCAGTTCTAGTTCAGTTCTAGTTCAGTTCTAGTTCAGTTCTAGTTCAGTTCTAGTTCAGTTCTAGTTCAGTTCTAGTTCAGTTCTAGTTCAGTTCTAGTTCAGTTCTAGTTCAGTCTAGTTCAGTTCTAGTTCAGTTCTAGTTCAGTTCTAGTTCAGTTCTAGTTCAGTTCTAGTTCAGTTCTAGTTCAGTTCTAGTTCAGTTCTAGTTCAGTTCTAGTTCAGTTCTAGTTCAGTTCTAGTTCAGTTCTAGTTCAGTTCTAGTTCAGTTCTAGTTCTGTTCTAGTTCTGTTCTAGTTCTGTTCTAGTTCTGTTCTAGTTCTGTTCTAGTTCTGTTTTAGTTCTGTTCTAGTTCTGTTCTAGTTCTGTTCTAGTTCAGATCTAGTTCTGTTCTAGTTCTAGTTCTGTTCTAGTTCAGTTCTTGTTTAGTTCTACTATAGTTCAATTCTAGTTCCTTTTTAGATCAGTTCTAGTTCTGAAAGGTCTCTTTTTACATTTCTGTAGAAAAGTTGTTCTTTTGAACACAACTTAATTTAGTTGTTTAATTATTCATTAAATATAAAATTGTTAAACAATATTTTGATAAAAATATTGTAACAACTTTATACACATATTTTAAGTAAACTGCAAGAACAAAGGTGTGTTATTTTCCCTTAATTGAAGAAGTTTGTACAACAAACTTTTTGCGTTCTTTATCTATTCGTTTTTCTTGTTTGTTTTTTTATAAAAAAAAAATATTTAACTTTTAAGTTAGTTAAGTTTTTTCTTACGTACTTTGTACGTTGATGTCTTAGTTTAAAATTTAATTAAAATAAAAGCGGCATCACATGTTTGTTGCTTTTAGGGGAACAAAAACAACACAGCAGGAGGAGCAGAAAAAATAATAACAATGTTTACTTTTCTCTCTCTCTAGGGAGAACGAGCGACAACAAGGGGGGTTGAACATTTACCTTAAGGTAGTGTAAGAGGTGGTGGGTCGTCTTACTTTATAGAGGTGTTTTTTTGCAATTAATTTATCTAAAAATGTAGAGCTGATTTCACACCTTTTGACAATAGTTAATAAACACACACACACATACCTAAAAAAAACACACATTCACATATAAACGCATTTAAATAAATACAAACAAATAAAAGACTGAAATTAGACGAAAAAAGAACGAAAAATAAAAAGAAAAATAAATATTTACTTTATTTATTTGGTTGGTGGCAACCAACAACATGAAAAAAACCAAAGCAGGGCAGAGAAAATAACATGAAAATTAATAAATGAAATGAATTCCTAAACGAGTGATCTAATATTTTGAGTACACAAAGAAATTAACACGAAAAATAAAAGTAAGAAAAAAAATTTCCAAAAATTTCGTTAAGAAAACAAAGAAAGTTTTAGCTTTATTTGAATTTAGGAAAAGTTGGTTGTTAATGAGACAATATTTCAGTTTTAGTTCAGTTCTACATCAGTTCAATTCTAATTCATTTCTAGTTCATTTCTAGTTCAGTTCTAGTTCCGTTCTAGTTCCGTTCTAGTTCAGTTCTAGTTCAGTTCTAGTTCAGTTCTAGTTCAGTTCTAGTTCAGTTCTAGTTCAGTTCTAGTTCAGTTCTAATTCAGTTCTAATTCAGTTATAGTTCAGTTCTAGTTCAGTTCTAGTTCAGTTCTAGTTCAGCTCTAGTTCAGTTCTAGTTCAGTTCTAGTTCAGTTCTAGTTCAGTTCTAGTTCAGTTCTAGTTCAGTTCTAGTTCAGTTCTAGTTCAGTTCTAGTTCAGTTCTAGTTCAGTTCTAGTTCAGTTCTAGTTCAGTTCTAGTTCAGTTCTAGTTCAGTTCTAGTTCAGTTCTAGTTCAGTTCTAGTTCAGTTCTAGTTCAGTTCTAGTTCAGTTCTAGTTCAGTTCTAGTTCAGTTCTAGTTCAGTTCTAGTTCAGTTCTAGTTCAGTTCTAGTTCAGTTCTAGTTCAGTTCTAGTTCAGTTCTAGTTCAGTTCTAGTTCAGTTCTAGTTCAGTTCTAGTTCAGTTCTAGTTCAGTTCAGTTCTAGTTCAGTTCTAGTTCAGTTCTAGTTCAGTTCTAGTTCTAGTTCTAGTTCTAGTTCAGTTCTAGTTCAGTTCTAGTTCAGTTCTAGTTCAGTTCTAGTTCAGTTCTAGTTCAGTTCTAGTTCAGTTCTAGTTCAGTTCTAGTTCAGTTCTAGTTCAGTTCTAGTTCAGTTCTAGTTCTAGTTCAGTTCTAGTTCAGTTCTAGTTCAGTTTCTAGTTCAGTTCTAGTTCAGTTCTAGTTCAGTTCTAGTTCAGTTCTAGTTCAGTTCTAGTTCAGTTCTAGTTCTAGTTCAGTTCTAGTTCAGTTCTAGTTCAGTTCTAGTTCAGTTCTAGTTCAGTTCTAGTTCAGTTCTAGTCAGTTAGTTCAGTTCTAGTTCAGTTCTAGTTCAGTTCTAGTTCAGTTCTAGTTCAGTTCTAATTCAGTTCTAGTTCAGTTCTAGTTCAGTTCTAGTTCAGTTCTAGTTCAGTTCTAGTTCAGTTCTAGTTCAGTTCTAGTTCAGTTCTAGTCAGTTCTAGTTCAGTTCTAGTTCAGTTCTCGTTCAGTTCTAGTTCAGTTCTAGTTCAGTTCTAGTTCATTTCTAGTTCAGTTCTAGTTCAGTTCTAGTTCAGTTTTAGTTCAGTTCTAGTTCAGTTCTAGTTCAGTTCTAGTTCAATTCTAGTTTAGTTCTAGTTCAGTTCTAATTCAGTTCTAGTTCAGTTCAAGTTCAGTTTTAGTTCAGTTCTAGTTCAGTTCTAATTCAGTTCTAGTTCAGTTCTAGTTCAGTTCTAGTTCAGTTCTAGTTCAGTTCTAATTCAGTTCTAGTTCAGTTCTAGTTCAGTTCTAGTTCAGTTCTAGTTCAGTTCTAGTTCAGTTCTAGTTCAGTTCTAGTTCAGTTCTAGTTCAGTTCTAGTTCAGTTCTAGTTCAGTTCTAGTTCAGTTCTAGTTCAGTTCTAGTTCAGTTCTAGTTCAGTTCTAGTTCAGTTCTCGTTCAGTTCTAGTTCAGTTCTAGTTCAGTTCTAGTTCTGTTCTAGTTCAGTTCTAGTTCAGTTCTAGTTCAATTCTAGTTCAATTCTAGATCAGTTCTAGTTCAAATCTAGTTCAATTCTAGTTCAGTTCTAGTTCAGTTCTAATTCACTTCTAGTTCAGTTCTGGCTCAGTTCTAGTTCAGTTCCAGTTCAGTTCTAGTTCAGTTCTAGTTCAGTTCTAGTTCAGTTCTAGTTCAGTTCTAGTTCAGTTCTAGTTTTAGTTCAGTTCTAGTTCAGTTCTAGTTCAGTTCTAGTTCAGTTCTAGTTCAATTCTAGTTCAATTCTAGTTCAGTTCTAGCTCAGTTCCAGTTCAGTTCTAGTTCAGTTCTAGTTCAGTTCTAGTTCAGTTCTAGTTCAGTTCTAGTTCAGTTCTAGTTCAGTTCTAGTTCAGTTCTAGTTCAGTTCTAGTTCAGTTCTAGTTCAGTTCTAGTTCGGTTCTAGTTCAGTTCTAGTTCAGTTCTAGTTCAGTTCTAGTTCAGTTCTAGTTCAGTTCTAGTTCAGTTCTAGTTCAGTTCTAGTTCAGTTCTAGTTCAGTTCTAGTTCCGTTCTAGTTCAGTTCTAGTTCAATTCATTTGGAACTTGTAATCCCCTTAAAACCGGCGTTTAATTTAAAAAATTTTTCCTTCCTGACCACTTTTTGTTTACATTTATTATTAAATTATTTTTTTTCTTTATTTTTATTAATTTTTTCCTGCTTGGTTTTTCTGTTACTAATACAAAATATTTTCCTATATTTTTCTTGATTTTCCTTCAATTTTGGCCTTTAGCCAAATAATCATCATTTTTATTTGAAATCTTTTTTTTTGTTGTTCGATGTTGTCTAATGTTAATATTAATCCGTTAAAAAAAATTGTATTTAAATGTTGTTAATAGTTGTTTTTTTTCTTTTGATTACTTTCTATCTTTCTCGACGCTCTATAGACAAATCAATTTTTTTTTGTGTACAAACTATTTGTTAATTGTATATTGGCAGATTCCGTGTTTTTTATTCATCTGTTATTTTCGATAAATTAAATTGTTAATTTTATTGTTAATGTTGTCTATAATTTTATGTTATTTTTAGTTAAATGTGGTTTTTGAAGTGTGAAAGGAATTTCTGGAAATTTTATTACAAAATTCGCAGAAGTTTCTGGTTGAAACTGGTTTAAATAATGACTTTTTTGCCTTTTTTAAAGAATTTGGTTTGAAAAGTTGCATTTAAATGATTTCACAGGGTGTGCTACTTGTTTTATGTTGAAATTTATGT